TAAACACTGCCTGAAATCCATCATTCTTGACGGGCAATTAACTAGTGTTTTCATAATATTCAAGTAGCTTTTACAAATGTAAATGTTATTAATATATTCACTGTTTAAAATAACTTCTACTTGGTGCATCTTTATTTAGTCTTTGTTTTATAACAAAGACTTTTTTTTGTACACAAGCTAATAGCTAACACTTCTTAAACAGCAGCTTATGTTGAATTGGAATCTAGTTTTGTGGAACAGGATATCTAATTTTACTATTATTTATCAATACAATAGGTATTTAGGGAACATGCAGGAAGTTCTCCATGAGTTAATTTTTAAATAGAAGAAAGTGTAATTGACATTGTGCAAACCTGGCACCATATCCTTCAAACCTTGCCTCCTCAACTTTCATGGCTTAGACAAGAAGAGAGAATTTGTCACTTGGACTGAAAAGAAGATCAGAAAGATGAGATGGGAGCATCACAATGAGGATAATCCTATTACTGTAATTAGGGAATCACCACTTAGCAGTTCACGTGTAAACAAAGCCCTTTATTTTTACTTTCAATCTTTTGTAATCAACTGTGTGTCCCCTTCACTGCCACTGCATGCAAATCTCTTCTTCCATTTTTTGCTTGTTTGTTTGTTATTTTTCTCTTAGCCAAGTTTTCTGGCATGTTATCATAGAGTTGTATGTTTAAAATCTGATGCTTTTAAAACCATACACATAAACAGAACAGCTTTCTGTGTAGGATTATTTGTCTACAGAAGGACCAAATTGTTTCATATCTGTTTTTCTAATGTGGATGGATAATTTAGAATTCCAGTAATAATTAAATAGTTTCTTTTGCTGGGTACAGAATAAATTGATGGGCTAAAAAAACCAACTATCTTTACTGACATAGTAATTGCCTAATTCAGGGGTTTTCAACCTTTTTTAACAAGTGTACCCCTTCTGCCTCAAAGTTTCAGCTCCTGTACCCCTTTACATTTTTCTTGGGGGGGATGGGCAGATTGAGCCCCCTTGGTGAGGGAGGGAGGGAGTGGGGCACGGGCAGGGGCAAAGGCAGGGGCTACACAGCCTGGGCAGAGTGTGAGCTGGAGCCATGAGAGTGGTTTATCCAGGAAGCACTGGGAGCGGGGGACAGTTCTTGCTGTTGTGTGCACCCTGGTGGAGGTCCAGGAGGCATGTGCCCTCCAGATTTGTTCATGGGGCAGAGGAAGCTGCTGCTGCAGTCTAGACTCTGTACCCCACTGCCCCAAGAGTGGTGTAATGCCATGTGCCTGCTATGCCCAGGCAGGCAGGGGACAGACAGACACACACACAAAGACAGAGACACAGATGCAGGCACAGACACGCGCACAAACACATGCAAACACATGGAAATGCGCGCGCGCACACACACACACACACACACGGCAGGTAAATGTGTTGGGGAGGGAGAGAGTGGGGTAGAAGAGAGGGAAGGGGCTGCGGGGGCCAGGTCGAGAATGGGAGGGGGGGGTGTCTCTGTGCCTGCTTCCAGGAGCAAGGCCCAGGGGGTGAGGGCAGCAGTACCCCTAAACTTCTCTTGCTGCAACTTGAGACTGTTGCTCCTTGTTCTGTCATTTGCCACCACTGAAAACAGTCTAACTCCATCTTCTTTTGAACCCCCTTCAGGTAGTTGCAGGCTGCTATTAAGTGCCCTCAATCTCCTCCTCTCCAAACTAAATATGTCCAGTTCCCTCAGTCTTTCCTCATAGGTCATGTCCCCCAGCCCCCTCACCATGTTTGTTGACTTCCACTGGACTCTCTCCAATTTATTCACATCCTTTCTGCAATAGGGGGCCCAAAACTGAACACAGTACGCCAGATGTGGCCTCACCAGCGCTGAATAGAAGGGAAGACTCACTTCCCTTGAAATACTGGCAACACACCTACCAATGCAGCCCAGGATGCCGTTAGCTTTCTTGCTACAGTAAATGATCTATAGCAGTGGTGTTCAACTTCCGACTCCATGGGTCAGATAAATAGCATAGGGCTGGTCTATTGGCCAAATTCAGCCCCAAGCACCAGGATCAGGTCCCATGCTGCCTCTGCCTAGCCCTGCATATCCAGATAAGACCCCACATGGCCTCAGCTGGCCTCCACAAGCTGGGATTGGGCCCTTCATTGGCCTCACATCCCCAAATCAGGCTCTGGTGCCCTGTGCTGTTCCTGCACAGCACATTTGAGCCCTGCAGGCCAGAATCAGCACCTGGGGTGCCAAAATACCCCCTTTCAACCCTGCACACCTGGACCGGGCCCTGTGCCTCTAAATAGAGCCCAGAGGCCCCACATGGCAGGATCAGGCCCTGACAGGATATACCACCCTTTCCTGGCCCCACACATTGGGATTGGATCTGTGCCTCAGAAGTTGAGCACCACTGCTGGCTGCCCTCACCCTGACCCAGCTCCACGTGCCAGGATTGGACCCTATGCCATCCTGAACACCTGATTGCATGAATAGGGTCTGGGGCTCCCTATGGGTCAGGAAATTTGGCACTAGGGGAGCAGTGCCACTACTTTCCTGTCACCAAATTTTCAAACCTATGGGGAGTCCCACAAGCCAAATGAAATGGCCCATGGGTCAGGGGTTGAGCACCCCTGACCTACTGCACTGTAACCAAGTTCAGGTATACTTTCTGAGTGTATCACACAGTACTTCATAATCTTTTACATCATATTCATGGTATGGATTTTAACCCATAAATTCCTTAATAGTCTGTAAAATGAAGTTACTTTAAAAATAGAATCTCTCCCTTGCCACCATACCACAGTAAAAATCAGTATAAGCACTCAATTTTGAACACCTACATTATAAATGAAATGGGACAGCTGATGGGAAAACCTCCACTTTGGATCCCATTTCCTCTTTGGCTCACCATATCAGCCAGTTGTGCATGCTATGGAGCCAATCCTTTTTCTCAAGCTCCTGAGACATGGGCTGAGGGTTTGGTAGATATATTTATCTTTTTTTATGTCATTTTAATTTATGAGACAGGTATCCAGAGCCTGAGAAGAAAGCAAAAGATGTTTTTTAGGAAAATATTTAAGAAATAATAGTATTGTGTGGTGACCTACCCAAATCACAATTGCATAGATTTCACAGAAATCACGAAATCGGGTGATCTTTGTGAAATCCTCAGGGGGTGTGAAAACTTACTGAAAATAAAGAGCTGGCTCCCCAGTGGGAGCCAGCAGTCCTTCCAGCCACGCAGCCTGGCCCAAAAGGAGATGCCAGCATGAAACAATCTGCAGCAAGGGGCGGGACCACATGACTGATAACCATCTCAGCCAATCATCAGTGAGTGGTGAGGCTGTACAATGGACAACCCTTTCCACCTATCAGTGATGGAAGGCAGGGCCAGCAGGGCCCCTTAACCAATCAGGGGCATGGGGGGGCCACCATGATAAGCCCTCAAAAATGTCAGCAGTCCCCACCAACTCCCCACAAAATGGGCTGTGCCTCCTCAAGTTGGGTAAACCCCTACAAATGTGGGTAGAATACTATTTTTTGTTTGGTTTTTTTCAACTGCCCTTCTTCCTATAGTGGAGCCTGGATACTTTTGGTTCCAGAGAAAGACTCAGGTAGTACTCTTGAAATACTTTTGCTTTTGATTTGCCTATTACAAAATCAATTGCTAATATTGTTTCCTGAATTGTTTGTAAAATACTTCCTCTTACTAACACTTGCAAAGATTTCAAACTCATATTTAAAGAACTCCTAAAAACTCCTATAGTAAGCAACATTTATCTACCAAGGTAGACACGGCTCCAACCTACATGCCTGACATATCTACCAAGGAAGTTATTGCTTTGCTCTCAACTATGAAGAAGCATGCAATGAGATCGTTTCCTCATATAGCTCTTTTTGTGCTTGGAAAACTTGAGTGAGCAACCTGGTTCACAGCTGCTTGTTGAGAATAATAGGAAGGTACATAGTGCTCCAATTCTTACACTGCAAATTATCCTGGTTGCCATAGGTGATGTATTGGGGGGCGCACCGCCCCCTAAGATTGGCTGCTGCCGCTGATGTTTGTGGGCAGTCACTGCTCACCACCCCCCTCCTCACTGACATCACTGTGGCTGCCTGCAGGCAGTCCATGCTCAGTCCGCCCTCACCACCATCACCGAGAATGCCTGTGGGCTGTCCTTGCTTTGATCTATCGTCACCACTGTCACCACAGCAGCTTGCAGGTGGTCCCTACTAACCCCTGCCACGCTCCCGCTGCTGACACCATCGCCTGCCGGTGATTGCTGCGCCCTCACGAGTCATTCATGCTGGTTGCAAGTCACCTGAGTACAAATTATCTAGGCTCCACTGTACTAAAACTGATCTGTATGGACAAGAATATTCCTCAATTTTAGTTATAGGCTTCAACATAAAGAGAGAACCTCTAACCTGATTTACCACATTTTTAATGTAAGAAGATTAGTATCTGTACAGTCAGGCACTGAAATCAGCAAAAAATACAAAGTGTAGGCTGAGTAAGTGATGTATATTAGAGACTGGGCATGTCTACACAAGACATTACATTGCCACAGTAATGTGCTACAGCAACATAGCATCAGTGGTCACAAACCGTGATGCCACAGCTACGTCACTGTAGCAGCAAGCTCCCTCAGTATAGTGTGTTGCTATGGTGACACAGCGATGGAAAAAATGTGCATCATCATCACGGAGCAATACAGGCTGTTACTGCACAGTCATATAGGATTTCCAACAGCTTTTTTGTGACGCTGAATGCACAGTAGCTCATGACTACTGCGCAGTACTCATTGCATCACGCTTCCTCCCATGCAACACTACTGCACAAGTCACAGGCTACTAAGCAGTCAGCATCTCAAGATACGGCCAGTGTCTTCAGAGTTATATCACAGTTCCCTCATCAAACGCTGTCCTATACATAGGACTGTAAGAGCCCTCCAGTTGAGTCAGTGTTAAAACACTTGTTTGCACTTTGCTTGTTAATCATACTGTTTAAGAAATGCAGGATACCAATATACAGTTTTTATGTGAATACCATTCCCTACTTTACTTGAAGTAAAAACTTAAAGCTGGAACTTAAAAGAAAAGCAAAATGCATGGTATATTAAAGATACTAAAAGCACGATCCACAATAGAAATATGCATTTCATATGCACAGTGCAGAATTCTGAAAACTACACATTTTTAAGTCCCAGTCTGCTCCCAGTCAGAGTTCTCCCACCGCCTTCAGCAGGTGCACAGCTGGACACTGAATTAACTCTGGGCTTTACTGGTATTGGTGGCAAAATCCCAAATGACATCAGTGGAGCCAGTGAACTCCTCATCTACTACTAGTAGTTTAGTATACACAAAGTTCTGTGGAATTATGGTATATATAGAAGTGGGACTATGTACAGCAGCTGTAACTTTTGGGTCCTGACCCTACAATCTTCATATCCCTGTTCTTTAATGCTAGAACATATTACATGTGAAAGATAGAGAATACACTACATTCAAGCCAAAAAAACCCCCTTCTGGGTAGAAGACCATTAAAACTAGGAAATGGGAATGAGATTTTTTATTTCCTCCATTCCACTTAAAGGTGAAATTCATCCCATTTAAAGAATTAACAAAGATGTTCACAGGATCAAGGGTCTTATGCTTACTCTCTAAGCTTACTAGGAAAGAATGACACCCACTCTTAACATCTAGTGGATTTTCCAGACTTGATCACACTGTTCATCAGGTTAGCCCAGCATCCTGTTCCTGAAAGTGATACCAGATCATTCAAAGGATATGTCTTCATTCACCATGCAATTACGGAACAATTATGGAACAACCTCCTATCAGAGGCTGGCTTCATCTGAATACTAAGGTTTAGAAGCTTTTGAAACCATCTTCAATTTCACTGATATGCCCATGTTCTTGTATTGTGAAAGTGAGTAGTAGTACCCAGTATACCTTCTCTATATAACATTAACTCTTGTGTATGTCTTTTATCATTTCTTCTTTAATGTGGACAGTCTTGGCCCTTTTGGAATCACAGAACAAAGAAGCTTTCCTATGTCAAATCATTCTCAATAACCATGATGACACTCTCTTTCTCTTCCTACTATATCCTATTTGCAATAGGATAATTCTTTTTCTACTATATCCATTTTGTAATGGAGTAGTTGGTTTCATTTTTTTCTCAAGTAGTGTTAGGTTTTGTTTAATTCCACAATACGCAAAATAAAGTATCTTAACAGTTCAAAACTGTATTTTAGAACTTCTAGAGCACTTTGCTACTAGATTTAAGTGCCAGTCTCAATTTCTGATGAAATGCATTAACCCGTTCTTTCTGAGCGGGCCAATCCAAGATGCAGCGAGATCTGAACATTCCTCTTCGTAAGAAAAGTGCTTGATTCATCTTGTAATCTGGAATATCATGAAGGAAGATCAAAATGATGGAATCTCGACTTTGTTCAATAGCTTGTTGTAGAGCATGATACACTTTGAACCTTAAGGAAAAGTAAAGTAATTAAGAACATTATTTGCTATTGTTTTACACATGGACAAATGTCAAACAGTTGTTTTTAATAACCCCCATACAAAGATCAGAGATTCAAAGCCTTGATTGTATATAAATTTTTAGCTTTCTTATGATGATCCCCTTTCAGCTAGCTACACAAACAAGCAATATTAAGGGCCTAATCAAAAAAAAAAAAAAAAGATTTTTTTATGCATTAAAAGCTCCACAAATCACTGTCCTGTTTCAGACATACAATTCTAGGGAAGGTATTCTGAGGAACTTAAGTTACCAAACAGTAGTAGTAGTGATTCTTTAAGTTACCAAATAATCAAGTAGATCAACAGATAGATCTAGCTATATCTATGTATATGCACACACAACGTGAATTGGTTTTATCTGACTTCATAAGAATAATTCCACATTTACACTGATGAAATAAAAGGGATTCACCCTTTATTTTTTTTCATTATATAAACTTCTATTTTAGCTAAAATATCATCTAAAAAGGTATCCCCCCATACAAAATATTGTATCATACTCACTTTCTGCACCAGGGATCTTTTAAGAGCTGTTCTGTCACAACAAAAATAATCTTCCTGCTCTTTTTTATACTATTCATTGTGGCTTCAAATTCAGATATTCCTGCCTCAAAATCTCGTTCTTCTAAACAAAACCTGATTTGAAACTGTTGATTTTTTTCCAGAGAGATGAAATTCTTTAACACCCAATTTTTGTTCTCTCTCGCATGGATAATGTAGGCATCATAATCAAACTCTTCTGGTTGTCTATCTATTTCATTAAAACCAAGTACTCGATTTACTGAAACATTCCAGTAAAATGCTATCCTCCACCCTTCAAACTGTATGAGAGTAACAATAATGAGGAGGAGCAATACAACAGTTGTACTGATTATGTACAGTAGTTTAAAGGGGGCACTATCTTTGCAGGGTGAGATATCAAAATGCAACACCAAAGTACCATGATAGTGAGGTGGGGTGTTACAAAGGTAATGGGAGTCTAATCCAGGTATGTATGCTTGGGTCACATTAAGCCAGCTAACAAACCAGGAAATACTTTCACAGGTGCAGTCAAAAGGATTGGAATCCAACTGTAATTCTTTCAGGTTCTTGAAAACTGTCCCAAACACTTTGTCTTCAACAGATGTTATCAAGTTTTTCTGAAGAATTAATGAATTCATAGATGCTTGGTCATCAAATAAAGTTGCTGGAAGCAAATTCAAATTATTAGATCCTAAATCTAGGCTTCTTAGGTGAATCAAACCTTTGAACACTTGTACTGGAATTTCATCAAAACCATTGGACTTTAAATTAAGGACACGGAGGTTAAAGAGATCTCTTAAAAAAAGGACAGGGCCATCTGGGTTAGCATGTTTCCAAAGTCGAGCCAAATTATTATGCTGCAAATCCAGAATTTCAAGTTTATGAAGTCCATCAAACAAATCAATTCTTATGTTAGCTAGATTATTATTGCTGATATCCAGGATAGTGAGATTTTGCAGAGGATGAAAAGGTGAAGGAGAGAGGTCCAGATTGCTGCAAGCTACCTTTCTCAGCATCAGTTTTCTAAGGCCTGGAACAAATGTAAATGAATCACTTGTCAGAGTCAACTGCTTGTTGTAGGACAGATAGATATCTTGGATATTATTGAGTCCCTGAAACTCATGACCTGTGAGCACCTGGGTAATTTCATTGAGGCCTAAATCAAGACTTCTCAGATGTCCCAGCCAGGAAAATGCTCCACTCTCTATTGTGTAGATTCTATCTTTAGTGAGGTTGAGAAACTGCAAAGTAGAATTAGCGAGCGATGAAAAAGTTTTATTAGTCACTCTGTGTAAATTTGTGTCACAGTTGCATAGACTCAAATATTTCAGGTTGTCCAATCCTGTGAAAAGATGAGCTGTAATTTCTGGAAAAGTATTACCATCCATATTAAGATACTCCAGCTGGGTTAGTGAATAAAAGGAGAAATCATCAATTATTCTGGTAAGTGCATTTTTCAGATTCAAATATTTGACTTTGGACAATCCATAAAGAGAGTAAGAGTATAAATGAGAGATCTTATTATACTCCAGGTTTAACTCCTCCAAATTTGCAAGCCATATAAAAGAGCCATTTTTTATCACAGATAAAGAATTTTCTGAAAGGTTTAAAGCTGAGAGATTTGTTCTTTCCAATCCATAGAAGGTTGAATTGTCAATACGTAAAAGATTAATACGGCTCAGTGAGAGATTCTGAATTTTTGTATTGGATAATTCAGAACAAAGTTTCTCTGTGCGATTTTCACCAAGATTGATATTGTTCAGTACAAGGCCATACAGATTGCCAATCACACGTAAACAGCCTGTGTGAATCTAAAAGGGAAGAAAAAGAAAAGAATGACTTTGATATAAACAAAGGAATTACATAGGAAAGTTGCTTCAGAAAGCCAAAATCTGGGAAGGTCTTCAAATACCACAGAACAAGGACCCAATTTAAAATTAACCCCTATATTGCCAGATTAGTTTGAAGCCAAACTTTGTGAAAGAGGTTTTTCTTTTTTTGTTTGTTTGTTTACTATATTTACTCAAATAAAAGATGACCCCAAATATAAGAACACCCCCCAGTAATGAGATTCTACGTATGGAAAAATGTATCAGTTTGTTATAATTGTCCAGGTATCATAGGCGGCAGAAGGCTGGGACTAATGGTGCTTAGCCCCCCAAACTGGGCCAGTGACAGCAGCTCTGGTGACACTTCTGCCACAGCTCTGCACCCAGCACCCCCACTACATGCTCTTCCACCACCATGTGCACAACACAGCATGCGCCAGCCCCAAAACAGCCCTGCAGGAGGGAGGGACACTGCACAGTCCCCAAAAACAATATTTTCTACTGCTGCTATGCCAAGTATACAATCCAGGTATTGGAGGGTTGCCTTGAATTCTCTTCTTCACCTCCTCCCTCCTACAGTAAGGAAAGCAGTGGCTGGGGGTGGGAGTTTGGTGGCTCCCTTGCCCTGTCACCCACTTCCCCCTGCAACCTTCCTGCCCTCCTGCCACCTGCATCCCCCCCATCCCCAGCTCCGCACAGCCTCTGCCCCTCTTCCCACTCTCCGCCTCTCCCTCCCCAACTCCCCAGTCTTTCCTTCTTCCCTTGTTCTGCCCCCCACCACCTTACTGTCAGCTGCTGCTCAGGCTGCTCCACAAAATGTAGAAGCTCAGCTCTTGCTGGCCATGCAACAGTGTTAGTACTGATGATTGGCTGGGCAGGAGAAAGAGTTTCCATGTGCTCTGCCCTGGGAGAGATGTCAGCACTAGCCAGAGCCCAGAGCTGACCTGTACTTGACAGTAAGGGGACGGGAGGTGCAGGGCAAGGGAAGAACCTTCAGAAAGGGAAGCAGAGGGGGCAGGAGGCTTCTGTGGGTCTGACTCTGGCCCCAACTTGGGCTCAGGGCCACAGTCAGAGCCAAAATAGCTGCCTGCTTCCCCCTCTACTTCATACATGAATATAAGATGAAGGGCTTTTTCCCCCTTGCTGACTGGGGGGAAAACCTTGTCTTAAAATTCTAGTAAATGCAGTATTAATGTTTGACAACTGTTGATCCTTCTGGATCATGGTATATGCATGAGAGGTCACCCAGACCTTTGATACATATGCATAGGCATAGGCAGAAGTTTTTTGGGGGGATGGAGGATGCCCAGACCTTCCATCCCTGCTTTACACCAGTGAGCCAGAATCCAAAGGCCAGACTAGGTCCAGACATTTGGTGTCTCCTGTATTTGTCTATGTGTCCAGGAATTAAACATGGGTCTCTTGTGCGGCAGACAAGGATTCTACCACTGAACCACAGGGGACTCCTTACAGTATTATTGTATGCAATTAAAAAACGCTACTCATGCCATTTAAAAGGAAATGTTGAAAGAGTTATGTATATTTATTTTGGAGAAAAGGAGATTAACAAAGGGACATGCTAGCTGTTTTCAAATATTTAGAAGTCTGCCTCAAAAAAGATTGAGATGCCCACATCTAAGCAGATTTCTATCAAATCTTAGAGAAAACCTTCTGAACCCTAAGAGCAGTGGGAGAACGGAACTACTGCCTGGAAAATGGTACACCTTCCTTCACTGGGAGTTTTTAAGAAGAGAATGGATACACATTAGGGGTGTGCAAATCAGGCCCTATCTGATTCAGATTTGGCCCAAATCAGGGACAGTGATTTGATTCGTTGATTCAGATCACTGTCCCCAATTCGATGCTGATTCGAAGAATCAGCGATTCAGACAGACACAGCTTTAAAAGTTTTTTCTACTACCTCGAGGTACCAGCACGGCTCGTGATCGCTATGATGCTGGGATGCATGGAGCGTCCCACATGAGTGCGGGGGGACCCTCCACATGTTCGGCAGTGAACCTGGAAGTGGACTGGAAGTACTTCGGGTCCACTTCCGGGTCTGCCAGGGAGCATGTGGGGGGCCCCCCCACGCCCGCTCAGCTCAGTGACTGGCCACAGGGGGACCCCAGGTGCCCCCTCCGTACTCACGAGGTACCAGTCGCCGAGCTTCTGGTCCACTTCTGGGTCTGCTGCTGAGCGCAATGGGAAGCCCCCCACTGTAAGCATACTTAAGATCTGAAAGTTGAACTGGGTTCTTTGTGGCTCATGTATTTGAATTTCTGGCACAAACTGAATTATTGCAATTGTAATTACTCAATTATGATAACAAATTGGGAAAAGGGGCAGC